CCTTCTTGTATTGAGGGGCCCAAAACTGGACACAGTATTCCAGGTGCAGCCTCACCAGCACCGAGTACAGGGGCATGATCGCTTCCCTAGTCCTGCTGGCCACAATATTCCTGATACAAGCCAGGATGCGCTCAGCCTTCTTGGCCACCTGGGCACACTGCTGGCTCATGTTCAGCTGGCTGTTGACCAGCACCCCCAGGTCCTTTTCTTCCAGGCAGCTTTCCAGCCACTCTTCCCCAAGTCTATAGCGTAGCATGGGGTTGTTGTGACCGTAGTGCAGGACCCGGCACTTGGCCTTGTTAAACCTCATACAGTTGGCCTCGGCCCATCGGTCCAGCCTGTCCAGGTCCCTCTGCAGGGCCATCCTACCCTCCAGCAGATCAATGCTCCCGCCCAACTTGGTGTAATCTGCAAACTTACTGAGGGTGCACTCAATCCCCTCATCCAGACCGTTGATAAAGATATTAAACAAGACTGTGTATGTTGTTGTAATTTCACATATAATTCTAATGGATGTTAGTGCCAAATAGCACACACCAGAAAGCATACAAATGCCAAACAACAAATATACCTTCCTGTTATATTTTCCCTCTGAATCTTCACTGACTAGAAGTTATAAATCGCGTACATTTTCCTATATAAATTTACCTTTCCTGGTAGGTCAAGATCCAAAACTCATCATTTTGGAAACCATTATCTTTTCTGCAAAGTTAAAGCTGATTAAAAAAAAACTGGCAATTTAATTCCGCATCAATATTTTCCTTTCATGTACAGTCTAGCAACTACTCCACCTTTCATAATATTTTATGAAGGCTGACAAACCTTCAGCAATGAAGAGGTTTCATCTTTAGTTACCATCACCTTGGCTTAGCTGACTGGCAGCCTGCCCACAAACCTGAATTATGTCCTTCACAAAGCAATTGAAGGAAGCGGAAGAGGTCACAGGTGAACTCATCATCCTGCATCACCTTTTCTCCTGTAGAAAGGCCAGATGGAAGCAGATTATGACAGGCTGCCAAGTAACACCCCACATCCCCTGAAGAAAATGTTCATATTTAATTTTAAGAGAGACGGGGAGAGGAAATTTATAACTACCAATCTATCTGAAGCACATTGATTTGTGCTTGGCAGATAGTTATCTGGTTAAAAAAAATGAAATTATGCAACTTAACTTTTGATTTATAAATATGGCAGCATGAGCTTGGCAACATTTTACAAATAATCCATGATATACAGTGGTTTGACTTTCCTGGGCATGAATGCTGCATTACATACAAAGGTTAGGATTGGATTAATTTGGTTCCCATTCATCACAAAACAAGGTACTTAAGGAGATTTAATCAAACAGTAATGAAAATCATTCCTCAAATAAACTGTTAGATTTTAAAATACTCCAAAATAACCCATGAAATTTGCAGATGTGTGTATTCTCAAGAATCATTTAGGCTGAAATATTTGAGGATTTAGTCTGCTGCTGACACAAAATGGACATTGGGCATGTCTCCCTTGACAAAACAGAGCAATAAACTTATGATGAGCTAGGATAAATGCCAACATGCTTTACTGACTTAGGCCCTTCAGTGCATTTTTTGGTATATAGCTCATATCCAAATGTATAAAACTTCAAATTATTTTCTTGATTCTTCACAGGAAAGACTATAACGAAAAAGCCCTCACTTAGCACACTGTTATTTCAGTTACATCAATACATACTGTTAACTTTGCACACTTACATGTGAAGAGGAGAAACAACCATTCACCCAGGAAAACAATCGCAACTGAAGAAAATGTAGAACAGCTAATAAAATAACACAGGAGGACAAGAACATAGGTGTTCAAAACAATAAAGGCCACCTATTGAAAGTAAGGAAATTCCCATTTAGGACTTTGCAAAAGTATTTGGAATGTGTATGGCAACAAAAATGGAAGCCATGAAAACTTCTACTTTTTAAGAACATCCATCATTTGAATATGTGGCCAAGTGCTATTTGTAGACAACAAAAGGAAAGGAGATAAAAATATAAGCAAACTGCAAAAGAATTTGGAAGATTTTTTTTTTTTAATGGGGAGATATTTTAGGCTTTTATCTGAACCTCAAAATCCCATGTCTACAAAGACAATATTTTTAGTGCTTGAATGGAAGGAAACCAGGAGAGTGAGTAAATGACTTAAAATTTAAAAGAAAAAAAAAAGCTTTTTTCAAAAGGTTATAGACAATAATAATTACATTAACAATTACTGACATATTGTTATATTGGTGGATAACTCTAACTATAATGTCTACATCTATAATTTATTATGTTAGAATAATTACATTATTACAGCTGAATTGTATACAGTATTTAGTACAATTTGGAATATATATAAACATGAACATGATCAGAAGTTTAACTTCACATAAAGTCATGAGTGATTACAAGTTCAAGCTAATGGACTTATCAATCCACAGCTTGTGAATTTTAAAGTGAGAAGCTTCAGTACAATGGTAGGATTAGGAAGCAAAAGCATTTTGAAAACTAATATGAGTATTTAAAAAGTACAGAATTTCAATCTTTCC